GATGGCGCGCTCACAGTCAGCAATGGCCGCGTCGTACTCCTTGAGCTTGATCTTGCACAACGCTCTGTTCTGCAGGATCTTGGAGTTGGTGCCACGGTTGGCAGGATCAACCTCGAGCGCGGCGCTGTACTTCTCGATGGCGGACTGCCAACGACCCATCTTGTAGTCCTGGTTACCCTCCTCCTTCATGCGGTCGAGCTTCTGGACGATTCTGAGGTACTTAACCGCATCCCGCATGTCGGGGTCGCAGCTGATGGCCTTGCGGAAGTGGCTGACAGCCTTGTCGTTCTCGCCCTGAGCGTAGAGGGCACGACCGCGGAGCACCAGGGCCTCGGGGTCCTGGCTGTTGCCTCTCAGCAGGCCCATGGCAAGGTTCTGCGCCTCGCCGAGGGCGTTGACGGTACCCATCTTGAGGTAAGCCTCACCACGCATCAGTTGCCACTTGCGGGGTCTGGAGGCTCCGAAGCCAAGCTGACGCTCGGCCTGGTCAAGGGCGTGGAGCACCATTGATCCAGCAGTGCCGTCTCTCAGGGCACCCTGTGCAGCGTTGACGTGCTTCAGCATCTCCTTGGCCGGAGCCTGATCCTTGGCCGAAGGAGGAGGGTTGATGCGGCCGAAAACGAGCAGGGCCTCTTGGGGCTGACCCAAGCTGGTATAGATGCGAGCGAGTCGGAGGAGGATCTTGGGGTTCTCGGGGTCCAGGTCGGAAGCACGGGTGCAATCATCGAGGGCATACTCGTACTGGGTGTTGGACATGTATGCAGCAGCGCGGTTGCTCAGATAGGTAGCCGAATCGGGGACCAACTCGATGGCTGGAGCAGACTTGTCAATTTATAGCCTATACAAATTTGCAATCGACAACACTTACCCTTGGAGTATTGAAGAATGGCATTCTTGTAGTCCTTCTCCTTGAAAAACTTGTTGCCAGCAGCCTTGTAGGCCTCGGCCTCGTCCTCAGTCGTGGGGACTGGACTGGAGGGGTTGGACTTGTGAGGGGGAGGGGCTGGAGCATCGCCGTTGCCGTTAATATTGGTGTTGATGCCATTTGGCTTGGGGACGGAGAAGGAAGTCTGCGCAGAGGGTTGGGGTGAAGCAGCAGCGGCAGCGGCAGCAGCAGGAGGCGAAGAAGGCGCCGCGCTCGACTCACGGTCGATATCCATGGCGTTTCCACTCATGGCTGAGAGTGCAGAAAGTCTCTTTGCACGTTCTTCAGGAGGAAGATTGAGGGGGTGAGAATCGAGGTCGATTTTGCTGCTCCTTCGTGAGCCGGGATCGGTGGGGTGTCGGCCAAAGGTGCGGGAAGTGCGCGACGGCTTTATCTCCCGAGGGCCTGGGGATGCAGGTTGGGAGGGTTTTTTGGTGGGGGATTTTGTCGGCGACTTGATGGGCGACCGGGGCTTTGTGGGCGACTTTGTGGGAGAAGAGGCCTCAGAGGAGGGGAAGTAGCTCGATTCTTGGTGGTTGTCGTCGTCGTCCTGGCCTTGCTTCTTGGACGATTTCTTTGCGAAGAGCTTCATTGATAAAGCAAGCGACCCTCTGAGGGGAACCAAAGAATGCGCAGGCTTATTTTTTTGTTGGTTAATTAGGTAAGGAGGGTCGGTACACCTCGATGCAAGGTTATGCTTGTGCACCAGATTCCCCAAACCACAATAACGGGCCTAGTGAAGGAGGGCAGGCAGGCAAGAGTGCGGAAAAAAAGCACCTGCTACTTTTTTTTTTCTGGGCTGCTTGGGTGCGTCCAGTGGAAGGCAGCGGAACCTTGCCTTGACTCGGATGGATGAATGCGGGAGAGAGCGGCTGGTGCGGAAGTTGATTGCAGATGGCCGTCCCAGTTTATTCGTTCGTATCGAAGAATCCCGACGAATACAACGATGATGAGGCAGTGTGGTGTGAGTGAGCGAGAGAGAGTTGAAGTGTGAGTAAGAGTAAGTTAGGAGAGAAGAGGAAGACGGATTGGCTGCTCCCGGAGGGCAAGGTAAGGTGAGGGCGGATGAGGAGGGAAAGGAGGAAGGAAGCCCAGGCTATTGAGAAGAGGCTCGGCGAGAAGACACACAGCCCATCGGAGTGGGCACTGGAGGGGAGATACAGCCGGCGCAAGCTGCAGGGTGCTTTTCGAGTGAGGAAGCAGAGTAGGAAAAAAAAAAGTATCTGTGACTTTTGGGCAAAGCCGATGGATAGAGGAGGGGGAGGGGGGCGGGATCTGTGGAGAGAGAGCGAGAGAGTGCAAAAGATTCGAGAGGAAGAGGCAAGTAACGATGCAAGCAAAGCAGGAAGAAGAAGCTTTAGGAGCGGGATGCACAAAGTTGCTTTTCTGTTGTCATCTTTCGGTAATCCAAGGCAGGGGGACAAGAAAGGCCAAAGGTGAAATACCGAAAATCCCAGGATTCATCAAGCGAGACGAGCCTTAGCTGTGGCTGCTGTCTCTCCCACCCCCGGGGAGAGGGACTCGTGTAGATTTATCAGCTGTGCACAATTTCCCCCCCCTCCCACTCTTCCATCCTCATCTTGTTGCTTTTTCCCGCCTGCCAGGCCTGTTGACTGGTCTGCCTATCCGTCCACTGTCCAGTGTCTTATGGATTACGGGGGAGACGGAGACTGGACAAGGTCACCGTATGCCCATGTGCTGGGCTGGCTATGCGTGATGTGGAAAATGTGCTAGCTAGGTAGCTGTCCATACACGGCTTGCCATGCAAAAATAGGTACATTATACGGATTATGGTACAAAACTTACGCCCACAAGCTACCCGGCAGGCACAGGAGATATCATTCCCTGGACCAGTGCACAAGCAGGACCGCAGAGAAACTCAAACGTGGATGCACAATAACGGCCCTGCTGGGTAACTGGCACATGGCAGCTCCCATTGGGGAGAGGCCATCACCAACGGCAGTCAACCCAACTCGGTATCGAGTACATGCAGAACTGCGTGTTACTTGCGTGTGCTGAGCTCTGCATGCGAGGTAGATGTAACCAAGCACCACCTGGCATCTACCAAATACCTTACCTCAACTCACCTCAAGCACCAAGACAGGAAAAAAAAAAAAAAAAAAGATACGCCCGCCACTAAACCCAACCCCACAAGAAGCTTGTCCAAACGGCCCAGTCCCGTCTCCCGTTGACTACTGGCAGTCCCCGCGGAGCCAATGGTACGCTTGGGGACCGCAACTTGTTTACCGTGATACCTGCACAGTAGTGGATGAAGGGGATCGTCGGACGACCGCCACTGGACCGTTGTTGAAGTGTTGACCTGGTATGCTGTCGTCTCCTAGCCACCCTATTTCTTGTTGTCTTTTTTCTCTGGTGGCCGATGACCAATGGTATACCAGGCGCAAGAACTCTCGCCGAGCTTGCCAAGGGGCCCAGGTTGAAAGTCGTCTGGGTATCCGTATCGTGTCTCCGCATGTCTGTATGGAAAGATACGAATATGGGACCTGAACTTTCCACTGACTAGAAAATAGAAATAGACTAGGATGATGGCTAGGCTTTAGTTTCGCGAGAGGGGAGCTTGAGCTGTTCAGCCTCCATTGAGAGGGTCTCCATCTCCAGACGGGACCCCCAGAGGGCGATGGCGTCAAGGCGTTTGCAGGGACCCAAATGACCTGTCTAAAAAGCTACAGTGAATGTGACGGGTAGAACTATGGAAGGACGAACAGAAGATCGGATGTCACCATACGGATTTCATGGACTCAGTGAAGTTGTTGTCGACGGGCAACAATACATCTGAATTGGCTCCCAACTGACAGCAGCGTAAAAGCCTAAAATCCTACAGTACCTGAAGGTAGGTACTAGCCCAAAGGCGCCTGCCGTCACCTCATGTCTTGTCCTTCCGACGTCCCGGCTCGGATACAGACGAAAATCAGTATATCGGGGCGTTTGCAACCAACGGGGACTCCTTCTTTCTCTTTCGCTGCAACCCAGCGGGCCGGTTCGAGAAGGTTCGGTGGGGCCCCGCCTCGGGACCCTGCAAAGTCAGCGAATCAGCCTCGACCGTTGGCCGCCTGTCATGGAACCCTTGGAGGCTGCTTGGGGGTCCGCCGAACCGCCCGAAGAAAAGCGTTACCGTCTCTGATGACACCCGACCACTTCCTGCACCGTGGGTGAGGTGCGTGGGAGAAGGCCCTCACGCCTCAGGTCAGACTCCTCTCTGTTCTGTTCTGTACGTCTGACGGACCACGGATAGTCTGACAGTATCAGGTCTGATGAAAAGTCCCTAGTTTTTGGGCACGCAGCGACTAAGGACCCATGTCCTAGTCGCCACTACCGCCCGCCCCTTGGAAATATGTGCGCTGCACTGCGGGTGCGAGTGCAGGCTGCAGAAGGGGGCCTGGCACTGGCTGATTTGCAGCAATCCCATCCCCAACCTCCTGCAGACCGAGCTGATGGCATCACCATGGCCCATCCCATGCCGCCCTCTTTGCCGGTTCACAATTTCCGCCTTCTTGCCAGATTTCGTTGCTCTCTCTCAAAGTCAAGGGCTACAGAAGTATAGCGGAGCGAGCGGGTCGTCAAAGTCTCTCACGCATGCAGGTCGAAGCCAGAGTCATACATCGTGCATGCACTGCCCGTTCAACGGGGGCTTGTCTCCCAGCCTTTCCCATTACCCAGAATCCCATATCGCGTCTCGATTTGCGAGCTTGGATAATGTGGTCGAACTTCGGGGAGCCACGCCCACCCGATCTCGGTCACACGTCTTATTTCCTCAACTTTCATGTTGTGGGTGGTCACATCAGATGCCTGCGGCAGCGCGTTGTTACCCTGGACTCGGCGCTAAACGGAACCCAAACTGCCATGCTGTGAAACTCAGCCGAAATTATACCTGTTACCACCGTGCTCCTATGTGCTTGATGCGAATAAAGTACAGTCATGTCCAAACTCGTTCGTCAGTTCTCGTTCCAACGTATTTGTGCTCTCGTCTCTGCGAGGACTGTCCCCACGTGCCATTCGCTCATGTCGTCACCATCAATTAGTCCCCTATGCGCCGCGTACCTTGCCTGAAATAAGCTCAATCCTCAGATCCCTCAGCTGATGCGGCTTCGGATGTTGTATTGCTACCCATGATGGAGTTGACAAAGTCCTGGTATCTAAACACCTCACGGCGATTTCCCAAACCGCCTTGCATGTTGCGATTGAAAGCTCGTCTGCCGGTGAATCCCTCAATTACCTTTTCAACCTCGGCCTCTGTAAGCGGTCGCTCGCCGGGCTCTGGCGCGGTGTGCAGAAGCGCATCCCGCAGCTCCGCGAGGTCGATCTGTCCGCTGTCGTCGTCGTCAAACGCTGAGAAAGCAGACAGCAACTCAGATTGTGGTGATAAAGAAGCTAGCATCGTGGCAAGGGAATTCAGGAAAGCAGCCATCGTCATCGTTTGCGGCGTTGATGGCGGGAAAAAGTTTGACACGTCGGAGGGTTTGGACGGCAGGCCTGGGAGATCTGTTAGAACGAGGGAACTTGGTTGATATCTTGAGTTTTCCAATCTTACCCAACTGATTCAGCATGTCGGCCACATCTTCCCTATTGATGACGCCATCACTGTCGCGATCCAAGACCTCGAAGCCCTCTCGAAGCTGTCTAACTTGCGCAGGCTGTAGATGCGATATGGCGTTCCCGTGGCTCATTGTCTTCTTCAAACCCGGCCGAAGAGGCTGTGGCGAGGCCATGGTGGTGGTTTCGGCTGTTGGTGTTCGCACTCGCGGCGTCTTGCTCTCGGCCGTGTCTGTTGGGGTGGTTGGGTTGCCGAAGCGTCCGTTATTCGTAGCGTAGGATGCCTTGGTGGGCGACCCGAAAGGCGTCACTTGGGTGACTTGGGTCGTCGAGGTCTGTCGGACTGCTGATGGTGATGCTGGAGATTCTGGTCTTCTGAATGGAGAACTGCGAGGAGAGCCATGAGGCCCTAGTGGGGAAGGTTTGTAGCCAACGGGCATTGCCTGTTGTGGGTTCTTTAGGTCAAAATTCATGCGACTTTCCAAGAGATTTGATGATCCGCGCGTGAAATGGGCCCTAGCCTACCATATCGAAAGGGTATTCGGGGCCGGAGCAGCTGTGGGTGGGAAATAGGGAGTGCCTTGCTCTGGACCTTTGATGCCGCGCGCCCACTTGGCAGCGAAGTAAACAATGAGAAATATGGAGATTGGGCCGAAAGACGACGGGGAGCGTGGAAGAGAAGAGTAGAGGACGGCAATGTAAAGAAGAAAAGCAATTGCTAAAATTGCGTGCTGCGTTTCCGGTACCAGTATCGAATAGAGTGTATTGATGAATAGTTCTGCGTTGGTTTTAAAATGGCGTTGCAGTTCAATTGTGGAAAGGTCTGATCCAGAGCAGAGACAATAGGCGGCTTTGGGTGACAGATGAATGTAAACAGAGGCGTCTTCTCCGTGACAACCGTAGCCTTGCATGACCCTCCCGTCCGTGCATGGCAATCCCGGGGGGAAGGGGGGGAGAGCCTCATCCCTTGGGGAGGGGGGAAGGAAGTGTGGCTGTCGACATGTGGCTTGACCACAATTCCCTGCGTTAGATGCCAAATTGCCTCTCTCCAGCCACATGGGTTTCATGTAAGGTCCCTTGGGGCGCTAAGCAAAATTTAGGTTGAGAGCGACAGCTCGGACCACCATTTTCTCAAAAGGGGAAAGCATAAAGGACAAGGGAAGGCGGGGGGAGGAACGTGGAAAGGGGAAGAGGAAGGAGGGGACCAAGGGGGCCCTTGGGGGCTGCCGAGAAAAGAAGGCCCTGCCTTTCCAGTTCCATAGCAAGGGAAGGCATTCGTCGGTGGGTGGTCACCGATGCCAGGTGGTGGGCGAGCCGCAAAAGGAGGGGGACTTGAGAGGGATTTTGGGAGGGAAAAGAGGACACTGAGAATCCGTGATCAGCATTACTCCCGACGCATTCGTCCAACGCTTTCTCGCTTTCTCTCGCAGACACTGCCCACTTGGCTCACGGATACGGATCCCAACCTACCAAAGCCCACACTGTCAACCACCTGCCTACCACACACTAACAGCAACGTAAGGCCGCCTCGTGTCTGTTCTTCCCTCTTTGTCTGCCCCCGGGGCTGAGTGTCTGACTTGACTGACAGATTGCCCGTCTGTGTGTCGGTCGATTGCCCATCAGTTGGCCCTGGCTTGCCTGGCTCCTCCGAGGTACGCGCGCTGAAGACTTCTGAATCTGAATCTATCCGTAACCACGACCTGCTCTACTCGTCACCTTTAACTAGCCCCGAGCGACACGCGGAGGGCCGCCAGTGTCCGGCGAGCACCAACCAGAGGTCCTTGTCGCGGCAATCCATCCAGGGGCACACTGCAAGACCTCCCCCCTCCATCTCAATCCGACACCCTGTTTGGTTCGCACCAAGAGGTGTGTACCTTGCTTCGGCGCGCCTTAGCTGAGCATTATTCGAGCCGGTGGGGGATCGAATTGGATTGCACAATTTTAAAAAAGAGGAAAAAGAAGCACCGCACTATCAACTATCCCCTGTCAGGAGTCCTGCCTGGTTTGGGACTCCCAGAAACCTTTCTGTACGCACTACTCCGTACGGAAACCTACCTTTAAGAGGTCAAGGATACCAAGAACACCTGTGAGCAAGCCTACAAGAACCGACGAGACCAGAAGACCAGACCAAACGTCGAAGCAGATCATGTCTCGGTGATTTTCTCTTCCACGCATTGACGCTTTCTGCATCTGTCCCCAACAGGATATACCTGCTCTCTCTCCCCCTCGTGTGCCCGAGGGGCCATCCTGTTTCCGCTCGTTGGCAAAGACTGGTAAATGTCAGTCACTCGCCTGCATCTGACGTTTCGAAGAGCGCATTCGGCTATCGTCTGAGAACGCCTCCACGCGCTACCCTGGACTTGAATACGGTTACCTACCGCCATACCTACACCACCTTACGAATACCGCTCCTGGACTACCTTGCACCTAAGGATACAACTACGTACTATACCGCCTCGCCAACTCCGTCCTCCCCTCGTACTCCGTACTTCGTACCCATCTCCCCTTCTGTCGCCGCCCTTCCCCCCCTCCATCTCGCATCTTGCATCCTGGCCCATCCACTTGCACTTGGCTTCAAGGACTTGCCCGGCCTTCAATCACCTATTGTACGATTCCAGCGACGACGACCCGGCAGATAATCACTTGATTGCCCTCGTTAATGTCGCAGCATCACCATCGAATGTCGTTGGCCGCGAGCCGTTAATCTTTCTGGGTAATTGTCAGCAAAGGGCTCCCACCATCGTCGCATTTCTCGATCGGAGACAAACCTACTTTTGCTGCACCTCCCCGAACGGACCTCTCGACTGCATTTGGATGGCTGTGGCTACCGGCAGCCTGCGCAACACTTTGAACCCCCCAACTACCGACTTGTTGAACGAATCCGCAATTTAACATTGCTCTCACAAGCATGGCTTCAACCCAAGCTGCGCTGCCGTTCCTCACGCGCAACTATTCAAACACGCAGACCCAGTACCCTCCACCGCCCAACGGCCCTTGGCCCAGTCGTCGCACTTCACTCTCCAGTTTCCCAGCTTCGCGATCGCCTTCGTCAATGTCCAACACATCTCGCCCGTCCCGATCTCCCCAGCCGCCTCCCATTGCCGAGACGGACCGCTCCTCGAACCCGAGCTCAAAGTCAAAGACACCGTCCACTGGCGTCTCGTCACAACACTCGTCGCTGTCCGCCCCGAGGCGATACAATCCGGATGCGCATCCTCCCCGCAAGTTGCGCTCGCAATACCCGCGAGGTTCCACCGAGAACCATGTCGAGTACATCTTGGTGGCCTCGTTCGATATAGATCGTGGCCCGGTAATGGAGCACCAGTACCCTGTTTCCATTACCGGCGACGAACACATGCTCGCAGAACTCATGTTGCCCGATCAAGCCCATGTTCGGAATCAAGACTGGACCATTTTCTTCTTACACAAGGACACGAGCCAAGAGGAAGAGGACGAGGAACGTAAGGCGAAAGAGGCCAGGAAGAAGAGAAGAAGGCGTTTGCGCAATCGCGCTGCTGGCATCGTCGATGAGGAAGATGACGGCGCGGACTTGGATGAGGAAGAGGGGGACCTTGATGACTTGGACGAATACGACGAGGAAGATTCGGACGACGGCGAACCCGAAGGCGGAGAAGGCCCGCCGTTGATCTATGTTCTGAACTTGGTCAACACAAAGCAGGATAAGACGGTCAAGAGAGGTGCTGTTGTCAAGGCGATGGCAATCTGCACGAGGCATCCCTTCCTGCATATATACAAGGTGAGATTTTGCTAGCTTCCCGCTCCCTTCGCTTGATCAGCCGGCTTACTTATATCAGCCCCTTTTGTTGCTTGCCTTGGATGAGTACTTCAAGGCGCCCGTTCCCGAGACGCTGGCGATGCTCTACGATGCCGTCAACGCAATGGACCTATCTCTCATGCCGAAGCTTAGCCTGCTTGAGAGGCATCTGCTTTTGGCCAGTGACAACAAAGATCTGTTCGTGGAAAAGTTTGAACAAATGATTCAGATGCGGATAGCTGAGGACCGCGGCGAACACCTCTCAGACCAGCCTTTCGATGCAAGTCGAGACCCTCCAAAACTACCTGGCGTTTCGAGAGCAGGAACAAAAGCGCACGTCGAAGGTGCTTCGCAGTATTCGGTTCCAAGGGACACGCACGAGTTTGAAAGCAGAGTCATGTACAAGGGCATACCAATTCCCATCAAAGTCCCCGTCGCCGTCATGCCGGAAACGGTGGGCGACTTTTCTTTGATCAAACTGATCCAGAAGTTTTCGGAGCCACAAGGCAAGGCGCCACAACCGTTCCCCCTGCATCCGCAATTGACGACAAACGGCCCGCATACGCACCCCATCATTGTATTGGTCAATGCGTTGTTGACGCAGAAGCGGGTGATCTTCCTGGGGCACAATATGCCATCAGGCGAGGTTGCGGAGGCAGTCTTGGCGGCTTGCGCCTTGGCATCCGGCGGTACGCTCAGGGGCTTCACGCGACACGCATTCCCTTATACCGACTTGACCAAAATTGATGATCTCCTCAATGTTCCCGGCTTCATTGCTGGAGTCACCAACCCAACGTTCGAACTGCATCCCGAGTGGTGGGATGTCTTGTGCGACTTGCCCACAGGTCGAGTCAAGATCAGTAGCAAGATCGACTCAGCCCCGGTCACGGAGGGAATGGTCTACTTTCAACAGCAAAACCCATCATATGCTGGGCTTGTCGGAGGCACCTCCAAGGTCGCGGCCGAAAGTGATCTGACAGGCGACGCGGCTTTTATGCAAGATATCCTACGAAGTATTGCGGCAAGGCACGGTGAGAGAGTAATACGCGCCAAATGGCGAGACTGGGTTATCAAATTCACGCGAATTGCAGCTGCATTTGAGGAAAGTGTGTACGGCGCAAGTGCCCTTTACATTGGCGGCGACGAACTGGAGATGGGCCCGGTGGGCGTGAACGGGCACGGCTACGTGTGGCCTGATGAACAATCGAAACACAAGGAGCTTGCGGGCAATGTGACGAGAATCGAAGGGTGGAGAAACACAAGGAGCTACTACAGCTTTATTCAGGTAAGGGAGCCGCGGAATCAGTCGCTGTTCCTAGAGATTTGAACTAATCGTCGTAGGATCTCGCACTGCTTTACACAGTGAGGCCTTTGAAGGGACTCGACTTACACCACATGCAT